CGCGGGGAGATCCCGGTGGAAGCCACGGCTGAGCGGAGCTCCCTGTGAGCAGCCTTACCTGCTCCTCACTGCTGCCAAGTGTCGGGTGCTGCTCGGTGTAGCCCTCTTCCCAGAGAGCCTCCGGTCTGTTTCCTTGCATAACCGATGCATTGGGGAATTTTTGTACAAGGTAATTTTAAGTCTTGTCGGTTCTCTGCCAACACTGGCTGTCTAGACTACTGCTATAATCAAAGGTGAGAGGTAGGTTCCTAATTACAGTTAATCACACCCTAAAAGATGCCTTGTCTGTATGGAGAGCGCGGGCACCTTACAGAGGTGATTGAACTGGGTTTGACTGTTCCCTGTTGTGTGCTGGGTCTGCCGGGGACTGCAAACAAACGCCTCACCTTGTGTAAATCAAATGCTGCAGCCGCACTCTTAAAGGAGAAATGTTAGTAGCACTCGGATGGACGTTAACTAGAGAGTGCAGTTATTTTTGGCCAGTCCCCTGGGAGCACCTGCCAAGCATTTTCTCTCATTTCAAACCCGGTTGTTCCTGCTGAGAAAGTCTGGGTCAAGGTGAGTGCCTGGCTCTTCCTCGGCTGTCTGTGCCATTTAAAAGGGAAAGAAGAAAGGAAGCCAAGCAGCAGGCTGGGTGTGAGGAGTGGTGTACTGCTGCAGGAGCACACAGGGGTGAGAACAGGACTGCTTGGGATGGTTTGTGTACCAATGAAATGCACCTGGTACCCAAGCATCCACGTACAGTTTTAGAATAAAAATGTTGAAACATAAGCTAAACAGAGAAGATTAATGCTGGCCTCATTCACTGTGGATGACAGCCAGCTGGTCAAACCAAGGGGTTTGTGCACCTGTCTGAAACTGAGGGAGCAGCAAAAGCCGTGGTCCCTGTGTGAAAAGTTTCTGAGAGTTATTAAAGCTGTTGTGTGGACAGGATCAAGCATCAGTGTGGGGACTCCAGCATCAGGGGAGCTGGCTGTCCCCTTCTGTGGGAGCAGGACTGGATGTGCACAGGGATGGGCTCTCAGGGTGCCACATGGGAGCTGCCATGGCCAGGCTGCTCCTCTCCCACTCCCCAGCTCTGTGTGTCTGGGAGCACTGGTCCCGAGCCAGGCCCTGCTGGATTTTGTCAGAATAATAACTGTGATCTTCCATGCTGGGGCTTTGGGCTCAGTTCACATCCCTTGCAAATGCCTTAGGAACTCATATTTGTTCTCTGGATTCCTAAAAAGCAGACAAACCTGGTGCGTTCTGTGAGTGTTTTTTGTTTTGTTTTGGTAGTGATTTGTGGGGGATTTTTCTTGGTTTGTTTTTATTTGGGTTTTTTGTTTGGGTTTTTGTTTTGTTTTTGGTTGGGTTTAGGGATTTTTTTGTTTTGTTTTGTTTAATTTTTTTTGTTTCGCTGTTTTGGGGGATTTGTTTTGTTTTTTTTAATTTCCACCAGGGACAGAAATTGCTGGCAGAGAATCTGAGGCCTGAACCCAAAAAAAACCCCATGTCTCAAGAAGCAGTGTAACTGCTCTGGCCAAGATTTTTGTTTTTTCTTAGCCTACTCCAGAAGTCTGCAGACTCCAAAAGGGCTATAGAGTGTAAGGTGACGTTCAGTGCATCAATGAACAGCTGTAAAAAAGCTTTTCTGCCTTTCCCAGCAGTTAATAACTTCATTGCACAGAACTTAGTTTTTCAGAAAGACCTCATGTGATTTTTGGCTGACTGAGGTGAGGACTGCTGAGGAATGTTCATAGTTACAAGTGGGGAGAATTTTTTTTTTTTACGGGAAAAACCCCAAAACCCTCAGACAAACAAGCTTGCTTTCACCAAAGTCTTTGTCCCTCTTGCTGAGAGTGTGCAGCATTACCTGAAGTAATAAAACAGTGCATAAAGCAGCCTTATTTGGACTGAGAAGTGTGGAAGTTGGAGTGCAGAACAGGTAGTGTCAGGGCAGCCAAGGTGTCTGTGTGGGGTTCTCCCTCAGACTGGACAGGGCTGATTTATGTGCCTGGGTTGGTGTAATGGCAAAGAGCAGGTACAGCTCAGGGCTGACACTGCCTGGGAGCAAAGTGTGGTCGTTGCCAAGTTCTGGATGCTGGCTCTTGCAAGGAGAGATGAGTCTGTCTTCTTGGCTCCTAAACCTAAGGGAGACTTATCACAGCTAAATTGTACGTGTCCCTTGGGAAGGCTTTTGAGGCCAAAACCACTAAAAACTCAGATTCTTTCATCTAAAAACAGTCCTAGGAAATTACCACAGTCTCAATCTTATATGCACTCTCCCTTGGACAATGTTACCTCTCTTTTGTAAATAAGGGTTTGCTTGTTTACTCATTCTTCTACCTGCAATGGAAAAGCTCCAATGAGTATAATAAAAGTTATGTACAAAAAGGGAAACTAACATTTTATTCCTAAATTATTGCATGTGGGTTGCTTGGGTTTTCTTTAACCACAGCACAGAATTTT